GAATTCTAAGGTTGTTCTTTATACTTTTTGTGTAGACATGAGAGTTATTGTGTGAGGACGGTGAGATTTGGGAATTTCTCATTTTATTAATAACAATTAGCATAAAAATTTTATATTAAAATGTTGATCATTTCTCCAATTCATTCGCAAATCAGCAATTAAGTGCTTCACAAAAAAAAGAATTATGTAAATGTGCTAAAGATGATCACAGTTTGTCCCAAGATGATTTAGCTCAAGAATTTAAATTGGCCGAAGCACAGTTTCAGGAATTTTATCAGAATCAGATAAATGGCTCTCCATTGATGAAACTCTTACAACTTCACAATTTAAAAAGAATAGGCTGGCAAATTGGCCATGGTTAGAAGAGGCTATAGCACTTTGGTTTGATCAAGCTGTAGTGCATAATCTTACAATTTCAGGAGATATTCTTAAAACAAAAGCTCATGCACTAGCTGAAATTATGAACATAAGTGATTTTAAAGGTAGTGATGGATGGCTCTCTCATTTTAAAAATCAATATCATATTTATTCAGTAATTAAACGAGGTGAATCAGCATCTGCTCCAATTGAGTTATTACCACAATATCGTGAAGAACTTCAAGAAATTCTTGAAAATTATGATCCTAGTGATATTTACAATTGTGATGAGACTGCACTTTTCTGGAAACTTGAACCATCAAGGACTTTAGCTCATGGTGAAACCTTTGGTACAAAGCAATCTAAAGAAAGAGTTTCTGTCATGTTGTCTTGTAATTCTAAAGGTGAAAAAATTAAACCATTGTTAATTCATAAGTATGAAAATCCTCATGCTCTTAAAGGGATTGATAAAACCAAACTTTCAGTATATTATTACTGGAATAAAAAGGCCTGGATGCAGGCTTCATTTTTTCAAAATTGGATCAAAAAAGTCAATGAACAAATGAAAAAGGAAAATAAAAAAAATATCATGTTACTTGACAATGCCTCATCACATGTAGGAGATCTGGATTTATCAAATGTTAAGCTTCATTTTTTTCCTGCTAACACCACAGCTCACCTACAGCCTCTTGATGCTGGAATAATTTGGTCATTTAAGTGCTATTATAGAAAGCTTCTTTGTGAAAATCGTGTTGAGATGTATGATCTTTATAATATGACAGAAAATAAAGAATCTATTTCAAAGCTTACCATTTATAATGCAATTAAATTTGTGTCAAAAGCTTGGGAGAATGTTAAAAGTGAAACAATTATTCGCTCTTGGAAAAAAGTTGGTATTTTACCAGAAGATGATTTAGATGACTATGAGGATAGTGAAGATAGTGTTGCATCAGAATTACAAGATTTAATGAATAAACATTATAACGAGCCACTGACAACTGGAGATTATGTTAATTATGAAAGTAAGAATGAAACTGAAGCAATGCCTGAATTAGAGGAAATTGCTGCGGTTGTTTTAAATGAAGAAGAGGAGGAGGAAGAGGAAGAGGAAGTCGTTCATATTAAAACCAAAGATGCATTGAAAAATTGTGAGGATCTTCTTATTTACATACAACAAGGAGAAGGGTTTATAGTGGAAGAATTTATTTAGATGGTCTACAAAAATTAAAAAAACAATTAATCAGTCAAAAATTTAAAGAATCCAAACAAACAAGTTTGGACTCTTATATGCAAATTGACTAATAAAATTTATGAATCCAATAAAAATTATACAGGACCTTTGCTCTTGATAAATTTTTTAAATGTCAATTAAAATGTTAAAAAGATTTTATTATTACAGTATTATGATTATAAACTTTTGCTAAATTGTTGATTTTAAAATTTTATAATCATTTTTCAAGTCATGTGATTTTATATGAACTCCCGTTATAAGAACAATCTCGTTATACTAGTCGTGTGACATGTCCTAAAAATCAAGGGGCAAGTTTATTTTCCGAAAAATTTCCGGTGATCTACACAATT